ATACATATTTTGAGGTTTACCCTAGCTTCTCTGGAAAACTTTGGACAACTGCGGATAAACATCATGCTCAACTTTAATTGACTGCTGCAGATACAACTAAACTTCTACTCATGTCACATGACTTTATCACATCTATGATCAGCTGACCTTTGGGCTTTTCAACCACTTGGATATTATTACCGGCAATCTTTAAACATTTATATATTTTTCTACTCTTGGGCATTGAAGAGTCGTGGAAGTTATAGGAATCACCAAGTCCTGCCTTACACGCTAAGCAAGGCATTGAGACGCCAACTGGATACAAACTCCTGAATCAATGATTTATGATGATACGCAAATACTAATAATGAAACTCAAATAACAAACAAGCTTACCAAAATTACCTAACTCTTTATAGCACCTACTTGGCTTTTTTGAACAACCGTAGTTTAATATATTTTTGGTCGGATGTTGCTTTTATGATAATATTTTAAAAGAACGATAGCTTCAACTCTATAATTGATCAATATATTGATCAACACATTACCTCACAACTCAATTTTTAACCACCTTTATGATCATTTGACCTTTACGCTCTTCAACTCATTGGTATTGTTACCAATAATTTTAGAAATTTTGGTAATATTGACCATTTATTAACTTGTAGTTAATCACCTTTCGCATATGTAATTGTGTCATTCATTTTGTTTTATCATATTAGCTAGCGTTGGTTATTTTTAACGTGAAAGATGGCATCGCGTACCTCCCCCAATCCGTTCGAAGCCGAGAGAGTTTTTACTTAATTGGTTAGATTGGGGACGTGACAGGATGGTGGGTCTTGTCTTGGTTTATTTTTAGATTAGGAAGAGATTTTCAGAAATTTTTTATAAAATATCAACCATATTCAATAAAGATTGGCGGTCCCTCCCGCACGTTAAAAGTAAAAAAAAAAAAAAAAAAAAATTCATTCAACATTACAGGCCAAGTTTTATATAAATCACGCGAAATTATATATAAACTTAAAAATATCATCACTTTTTTTTTTGATCGCTGAAAGCAATTATGAAATATCCCTTATTCATTAACAAGACATTTAAATGATTTCGACGTGAAAAATGATTTAATTAATATTTTCTAATCTCAGATATTGGCATTTTGAATAAATCAATTTCTCTAGATATTTTGGGCATGGCAATAACCGTTAATATACCTTTTTTTTTTTTTTTTGCTTGCATTAGATAAAGAAAACTATTAATAAAAATAAACAATCTCAAACTTCTGATCGGGATAGAGTTATGATTTAAGACATATTTTACTATTATTTATTGGATTTGAATAAAGTTTTAAAGCTTCTATCTTCCTTTAATAAGTAATTGCATTCAGACCTCACCAAATTACTTTAACCATCTTTGGAGTTTGATATAAATTTTTCGTGTTTTCTTCCTCTGTTGTTGTACGTGAATTGCCAGAAAAAAATTTAGTGAACCCAATTGTCTGTCTGACATACGGTCAAAAAACAAATTTTTTTTTTTTTTCACATGCAACAATTTAATTCACTTTACGGACTTTCTACTCATAATAAGTAAAGTTCCTGTTGTTAGATTATCTAAAAACTTTTCAATGTTGTCACACTTTTAATATTCATTATAAATTTGGTAAAAATTCGTAAAATTAAAAGGATCCATAATTTCTAATTCGATCTTTTACAATTTATCGAAATTTTTTTTTTAAAAATAATTTTGCCTGCAAATTTAATGGGAAACAATGTAACCTTTTCTAGGAAATAAATTTTCTCTCATTCTGGTATAAGAATGCATCAAATTGGGTCATGAAGACCATTGTGTTAATTAATATTACACTTGTATTGGTATACAAACAATGGTTCAATCAATCTTTTTTTTTTTTTTTCATTATCGAATGAATACCACAGGTAGATTACCTTCAATTGTAATTTCCGAATTTAGCCAAATTCCCAAAGACTGATTTTCCTCATTCAGCGTCAAATGGTATATCGCGTCATAAAACCCTTTTTTATATATGCATATAAATTATTATTTGGCGGAGTCGTCGGAGTAATTTTGTGAGATTTCCTTCCCTTCCTTAAGATTACAAATCTAATTAAGGGTTTCAAAAATCAAAAAAAAAAAATCAAAATCAAAAAAAAAATAACGGGTAATGGCAATTAAAGTGGCGAATGTGAGTCCAAAAATGGTTAGCAATTACCAAATCGAGTTATTTCAGGTGACATTCGTGGCTTAGATGTTCACATGATGATAAAATTTCACGATGTCAAAATCAATTCGTTTTATTGTGTTACTCGGATATTACCCGCATTTTCATGCGAGATGTGACATTTGTTTATAAAAGATAAATTGAGAAATTATTATGATGCGCATTTGTGACCACCACAAAAAAAACAGATCTCGTGTTCAAATTATGAATTACGTGATATTATGTGGCAAATAATAATTCAATTGGATGAAAATTGTTGTGATAATATAGAATAATTTGCTTCGTGCGACTCAACTTTTAAGACCATATTTGAAGATAAAACAAAGTAAATGTAGGGCAAAAGATTTAACAAGACGCGCGTTTTGATATAAATTACCGGAAAAGCTTAGCCGCGAAGATCTCTTGATGAATTTGATTATTTGTAAAATCGATCATTTCATTCTCAGAATAAAATAAGGAACGTGCATATATGCACAAGGTTGTAATTATTTGTCTTTATTATTGATTCGTGAATTCATTTCCCATTAAAATTCTTGAAGTCACATCGTGTTGATTCACCATACATCCATGAAATAACACTATATTTCGAGATCATAACAAGAATGATACAGCTAATATCGCATTAGTCAGGCATTATTAAGGAGAGAGCAAAGAATATTAACTTTATACATATTATACCTATGCTATTTTGCATTTTTACTGTGCGCTTGATTTTCCACGAAAGGGTTGTAAATTAGCCACAGTGAATTTGTGATGTCCGCCACATAATGTGATAAATGGATTGTGGCAAGTACACCGGCACATAACAACATATTTTATTTGTCCAAACTCATAACTACGTCCCACCTTGAAAAAGGTTGAAGAATCCACTCATACTGTATGATCTATTTTAATGAAGGTTAACAAATCATTTGTGCAAAAAAATTCCGATGAATTTAGATTCGGTCTTGACTATGTTAAAATTTTTGATTGTAACACATGAAACAATTAATTAAGTACGTGAGATTTTCGTTTGATTTAATAAGACAAAATGTTTTTTCATGGCGAATAAAATTCGGGAATACTTGGATAGCGGATTAAATTAGATATAAATTGAATAGGAAACCTTTAAAAATAAAGTTATGTATTGTCGGCCGCTTGTACAAAGCCGCTTGCCAATTTTAGAAATCAACCTGCCAATCGATTATATAAATAGAATCATAACTTACCATATATGAAGGGATCGGCACATAAAAAAAATGATTTTTTTGTTTTTGATCTAGAATTATCCTTCCAACATTGTCTCCGGAATAGATACATGCATAATATTTGTAGAAAATTCTATCATTTTTCCTTTTTTAAACATGACATTTAAAAGGTATAAAAATGATCAATGTCGTTTGATTATTTACACTGCTAAACTATATTTGTTAACTGATTTCTATCTACAACTCTTTCTCATCGTTGTTTTTAACCGGATCTCAGCATTCAGCCATTCACTATATTTGTAAAAGCGATCCACATGTAAGGACATATAAATATATATTAACTTTACATAATATTTTTAACTATAAATAAAAAATCGTAAAAGTACATTCTCGACCTTAAATTCTTTGTAAAAATGAATCCTTATGCACTCACACAGTTAATAAATCATTCATTATTTATCAATTTAAAGAAGAATAATGAGACATGAAACATGATTTTACGATCTCATGTGATAGGATTGGGGCAATTACATTGCAAAACGTTTTAAATATACTTGTTATTCTCAAATATGATCTAATCTTTGTTAGCGATTTAACTTTTTAATTAATTAATCCTTTCATAATTCAACGAACGTGACCCAAACAATACGTCAAGCACGTTCTTTATAGGAATCGGTTGCCTTTCTTGTATTAATAAATTCATAACATTAAAAATTTTATTTTCAGTCGTGATAAATTAAAATCGCAAAAAAAAAAAAAATAATTAAAAGATTCAACAAAATATTCCTTTGTAAGAACAATCTTAACGAAATTTGGTGTTTCTATTGTGAACATGCACGCGTCAATTAGATTTTGACGCGTTTAATGTAATTATTATTTAATAAATATCAAATCGTTAGCAAGAAGTATGAATACAACACAAGTATGGTTTGGTTTGATTCCAGAAACAAATTGTGAAACATACTTATTCATAAATTTCTTTGCATTTGTTTACATTCCTTAAATCTATAAATAAAAAATGTTACTATATTTAATGGATATTGAACGGGGGTAACCATATCGGGAATAATGATATAATCCCGTTCACTTTCTTTGTCATCTTTCAGTCATTAGGGCTAATGCGTTTCGATATATCAGTATAACATAAATCAACCTAATATAAAAAATATCAAAAGTCACAAATTCCGCATAATTCTAATATTCGCGGTCTGCGATACATAAAGCCGTTTGCTTACCTTAATGATGGTCAGTGCATCACTCAATAAGCTAGTTTTGTTGTAAGATATTCTTTTTATTGTGACGTTTCATTAATTCTTTTAATAGGAAATATCGATAAGCTGCGCAGTTTTACTGCGGCAATAACTAGTTACCAAATCCAAAGTGTAATCCAATTCATTTTATGTATTGATCTGATATTGCCACTTATAGAGTTTTTTTTTTCTAAATGATTCATCTCACGTTCGAGATATTCGATCTAGATAATGATTACCTCATCTATCCCATTGGATCATACGAAAGAATAAAAATCAATATCACGAAACAAGAACAAATAACGATTATAGAGTTTAATAGCATAAACCTTGCTGATCATTCGCTGACTCTATGGAAGAAACGTTAAACTTGGATCAAGTTTTCTATAGATGCGAGAAAGGTTTCATTACCACCGTAAGATTTTTGGATCATGTGACCAATCAACCCTACTTTACTAAATTTATGGGACGGCTCCGAATAAAGAGAATCTACGAGAATCAAATAACCGTGCACTTGTCCAAACATGGACCGATCGACAAATTTTCTACTAAAATTACAAAAATATCGGATCAATTTATAAGCAGGGGACTTCTTAAATCTTCTTAAAATGTGCTTATGTAAGAACTGTGGCAAGTCCGAAAAGATTCGAATGTAAGCCACGATTTTATACAATTACATACAAGCAGTTAAAAAAGGCATACAATCTTGATAGAAACGAAAGATTTTTTAATGTGAAATATGAAACAAATGCATAAAATGTTTTGATTGGTTGTTCAATTCAAAAAGTCAAGTCTGGTGTGAAACAAAGAAATTTTTATTACCGAGTGAGAAGATTATGTGAAAATAAAACTAATGTATCGGTTAATAAATTCCTTTGCTAAATCATTTGTTTAATAATTTTGGTTTAAATTTACCTTGTTTATAACTTTATAAGGTAACAAGTTAAAAAAAGATTACCGATCCTACTATAAATAACGATCCTTTTACTTTTTGGGATTTGGTGCTCTTGTAGAAGATCTTTAAATAGCAATTCCAAACTCCAATTTATACTTCTCAATTACAGATTTTGTGATATGTGACAATTGACAATTTATACTGTACTTTTTATGTAGCTACAAACTTTTTTTTTTATATTACGGAGTTTAATTTTTTATTTATTATTAAAAAAATTATATTGTTTTAATAACCCTCCAAAAAGGTAATTTACTGCACACATCCAATTTACGTGAAAACCTCCGAGGGTCAGATCAAACAAGAAAAAAAAAAGCTTATAAAGGAACCTGATAATGAATTTACTTTTTTTTTTTTTTTTTCAGAAGTCCCTACTTCTTCACTCTCATAAATAATCGTCTTTAATATTTATTTCAAAAATTATACCTAAGTATTTTCATGAAACGACTTTTTTTTCAAATTTAATTTTCTTTTATATATATATATATTCCTCTTAAAAGAAACGTAAGAAAAATAAGGAATCGAAAAGTGAACATTTTCTTGCAGAATTTAGCATCCAAGTTGTCATCTGGTTTAACAAATACGGTATACGAATTTCCTAAAAAAAAAAAAAAAAATGGAACATACCACGGAAAGCATAGAAAGTGCTTCCCAACAAACAATTTTACATGTAGGAGGGGATTCTGATGAGTCTTGTGAAGATCAATCCACCTCTTCAATTCCTTCTCAACCATTAAAGAAGAAACGAGGAAAAATTTCTCAAAATGCGTGTAATAAATGTAAACGTGATAAGAAAAAGTGTGATGGAAATTATGCAACACAATCATCTTGTACTTATTGCCTTGATCATAATGAAAAATGTATTTATCCAGAACCTGGAAGGAGACGACCAAGGATCAATACAGATTTAATTGATTATCAATCACGTGGTGAATTCATAGAAAGTACTTTGGTGAATTTGACAAGATTCATTGCAAACTTATCAAATCTTAACCAAGTTAGTAATACGTTAAGAGATCATTTTTTTCAATTGTTTGTACATCCTTTGACCACAATAGAACAATTTTTATTATTGAGAAGATTATGGAATGAAATTAATGATAATCCTAATGACAATCGATTTAACGTTGAAAATTTACAATCAATTTTATTGGTTTTGACAATCCTTATCCAAAATCGAGAAGAATCTGTCCAGCAACATTTCTGGGAACACGTCCGACAGATTGTTGATAACGTTATAGGGGATGTTCAAAACATGACCCCTTCTTCCACTTCCTCCACTTCCTCACTTGCCATTCAACCTTCCATTTTTCCACATAACATTCCTGAAAGTTCTGATGTTTTGCCACCAGATTTTTTGCAAATGAATTATACAACGGTTCAATATGATAATAATGATCCGGGTAACTTTCAACATCATTCCACGAGTCAATTAGATAAGTTCTTCACTCCTTTGGTAGATAACGTTGAATACGTTGACGACGATCCACGACAGTCGGTGCAAAATTCTTCAACGCAGCAGGACCAAGAAATCGCAAAACCTTCACAAATTATTCAAAAAACTCAAGTATCGGAACCAAAACTAAAAAAACAAAAGACAGAAATTCTCAAGAAAAATCGGGAAAAGAAAAGAAAAGCGTCCCGGATTGAATCCAACAAACAACGTAAATGTTCTTCTAAACAAGCTACGTACTTAAATCACGTGCATATTATGCACAGACCGGTTAAACCTGAATCAAAAACTAGCCTGGTTTTTCATAAGGAGGATCCAATTGATAATTCCATCATTACACCAAATTTATTTGAAAATCGACAAAATCCTTTACGTCCCGAAAACCAATATACGCCCACGATTCCACAATATCAAAGACAACAACATCAGGACATGTTGAATTTATCTTATGAACATTGGAATAACACTGGTTTATTTGCAAATCAGCAAATCTCTCAATCAACAACTCCACAACAATCTTTAACACGTGAACAATCTCCACAGAATGAAAATCCTCTTCCTCTTTTTAACAATTTGAATCCACCTGAACAACTATCTTATTTCCTTAATCCCAGAGTAAATAACGTTATTGAAGATCATAATCATCATACAGACTCAGTTGATATCAATTTAATTTTAGGCATGAGTGGTCACCTCGAAGAACAATAATCGTAATCGTATTTATTAATAATCGGTAAAAAGGTTCCTTTTCTTCATTGTATCATAACATAAATATTTGATTTATTTATTTATCTTTCATTTTTCCACTTTAAAAACCAATTTTGTTTTTGTGGTGTACTTACAAAAATAAAACAATTTGTAATTCATTATGTACAAAAAAATGAGATTTTTTTTTTTTTTTTTTAAATATAATTTGTTAAGCTTTAAATTAACAAATTACAAAATTTGAAAACGATTTGATAATACACGTCTATCGATCGTTATGTCAAAAGTAAGACAGACTTTGCAAAGAAAAGAATCCTTAAATAAGAAAAAAAAATTTCTTTTTATAAGATATTAAGACATTAAGAATATATTATGATTAAATTTTTATCGGAAATTTTACAGGGAATATCCTTGTTAATTATGAAATTTTTTGTATTAATCGTTATAATAATAAAAGTACCAATCAGAAAATCATCTCATTCTAGAATCTTAATAAAAATGATTTATTAGCTTGATTTAGTGGTTAAAGCAACCCCTTTTGTGATTCAAAACGTGTCGTTTCTGTTATATATAATGGTATAATAAATGTGATGGTTGAATTTTTTTATTACCAACTTTAAAATAATCGACAATATATATAAAAAAAAAAGATAAAAAAAGCAAAAACGAGTTAAAAAAAAAAAAAAAATAATAAGGAATTTTATCTTTTTTTCACCCAATTAGTTCAAGTTTTGCTAGATTCGGAGTTATGTTTCCTTGCTTCTTTCTACAATCGCGTTTTAATTCCAAATATGGGAACATAATAATCAGAAATTTATGAAGCGAGTAAGGAGGGCAATTTACTGGGATTTGTGAGGGGGGGGGGGGACAGAGGGATGATTATTCCTTTTTTTTTTTATTTTTTTTTATTCCTTAAATAACTTAAATAACTTGTATTTTCTTTTTTGTTTGATCTTAAATTAGATTTGTACTTGCATTCCCTCAGGAGGATTTGTCATTTATTATGCATCTATAGTTTATTCATTATTCGATCCGATCATATATTTTTTCTATCGTACGAAGTATATTCTTTTTTTTTTTGTCTAATATAAATTATTGTAATAAATTTCTACAAGTCGAAATTTGCTGCGCCACTAGATGACACCAGGAGAAAAAAAAAAACGCCAAAAAAAAATTGTGGCTGATTGAAAATCCCTAAAGTTCAACGCGACATACAGTAAATTATATCCGACATACAATATACAATATATTTTTTAAATAAAAATCTAACATGAGATTCGAAGTTAGAATGGACCAATTTTCATGTCTTTCAAAATGTAGAATTCACAAATGATGTCATTTAACAGAAAAAAAAAAAAAAGAATTAAAAATTCTTTATCAATTCATTAAGATTTCAGATACAAAAAAAAAAAAAAAAAAAATATATTAACTACATAATCCAATAATACATCTTTCTAAAAACTTAACATAATACTTTTTCACTAGAAATAGAATTACTATTTTTTTTTTTTTCTTTTTTTTTTATATTAATTAAAATTTAATTAATTAATAAGCTTTATCTACTATGCCAAGTTGATCGTTCAACTCTTGAATTCGACGTTTCAATTGCTTGTGTTCCCCATCTTTTCGCGCGTCCAATTTCCAAGATTCTTTTTCATGGTCATCACTTGAAAATCTTTCGCAATGATTCTGCGCGTTTTCTGAAAATGGATATGTCGCAACTAAAAACGTGTGTTTATAGATTTAATGAAAACATTTGATACTTTCGCACATCATTACCTCCATAAACGCCATAATCAACTTTAATAAATTTCATCCCAAGATCATAACATCCTTCATAAAAGTTCACACCAGACATTTCTATAACTTCCTCTTCTTCCATAATGATTTCCTCGTTCGACACGATTTCGTTCTCTCTCACGTGTTGTTCGTCTCCTTTCACATTTTCATGGTCACAATCATCAACGTAATATACTTGAACTCCATCACTCAATGTTCCCATAATATTCCAGTCAAACATACCTTCAATAATTTCACTAAATTCACCATAGGTTTTCACCTTTTTTATAAAGTAGCTTGTTTGTTGAGTAACCATTTTATAAAAATTGTCAAAGTTGTCAGAGTTCATATCACTCGAGGTGGTTGAATATAATGTAAAAATTACTGGGTCATCATTTGATTTAAATGGAAAAGTAGAATACTTTGTTAAAGAGGGTAACATTTTCTTTTTTTTTTTTTCGTTTTGTGAAAAAAATAAATTATTAAAAAAAAAAGAGTCTAGAGGAGAGTAGGGAAAAAAACGAAGATTACTTTTCGTGATAATCATTTATACCCCATTCACCGACTAGAAAAGATCATTTAGCACGTTTATTTTTAACAAACCAAATAAAGTTAAACTAATGACGTGATTATCACGTAATTATTTTTCACATTCAAATTCTTTATTAATTTATCTACTTTCAAAAATATTTAATTAGTCCAAGAATTGAAGATAAAAAAAAAAAAAAAAGAAAAAAAAAAAAAATCTTCGTGATCTTTCAACAATTAACATTCCTAATGACTTGCTTTGCTCTTGATAAATCCGTTGGTGTAAAAGTATGATGATATTCGCAATATAAATAATCCAAAGTTCCACCACAAAACTCAATCACTTGATTTAAATGTTCATTACTAAAAAATTTGCATTTTCTAAAATCCAATATTTTTAATCGTTTAGCATTGCATCTTTTCAAAAATGTGTTCAAAGAATTTGGATAAAAGTACCAATCTAAAGTGAATCTAAACATGTAAACTTGTTCACCCATCGCTTTTCCAACTTCACAAAGGAAACTATCAGCTGTCATAGGTTTATACATGTACCTTTCGATAAGATTGTTTCTAAAAATTTCAGATCTTTCGTCATGAACGTAAAGTTCTTGTAACAGGTTCGCCGATTTTACTATAGAAACGACTATCTTCCATCTCGCGTTAATTCCAACCGTTAATCGAGTAATATTTGAAAAAAATTGTGTAAAGGATTCTAAATTTTTTAAGTGATCCAAATCCAATAATTCTAACGATCGAAGTGAATTTGCGGCTTGTCGAAATAAAATTTCTATTTTATTAATATCAATTTTTGATGTTCTAATCGATAAAAATTCAACTTGATGAAACGATTGTATATCTCTTATCAGCAGTGGATTATTATCCTGATAATCGTCATCTTCGTCGAAGAAGGGTAGAAGATAATCCAAAGGGTATACATTACCAATTTCACAATCGACTAATGTCAACCTCCTGAGGTTATGGAATTTTGAGAGGCATCCTAAAGGAAATTGAAAACCAAATTTAACCCCTACAAATATAATGTTAACTAAACTTTTTGTATGATTCATTAAATTATCCCATAAACAAACATTTTCATCTCGAGAATAAATTGTTGGGCTGTATTGAATTAAAATCTTTCGTAAATTTCTTTGTGCTCGAATCAACATCGCAAAGTCTTTCAAAGGTATATAATATTGATCAAAAGACGCTTTTGCCTTTAATCGTATTTCTAAATGTTGAATATCTCTTGAAATTTTACTAGCAAACCTAGTCATTTTATCATCATCACATTTAAAAATTTGTAATTGGGATAATTTTGTTTCGGCATTTGGTAATTCATATACACTCGGTATAGGACACAAATGTTCACGACATAGATCAACGCATTTGAGATAAGTTGAACTTGTAAACAAATGTTTAATCAAAACCTCTGCTATATAACCTATAGTGTCATTATTTTCTAGATTGGATGAGAATGTTTTAAATTTTGGTGTTTCATTGAATCTTGCCCATTTCCCAACACTGTTTTTAATATTCTGAATAGAAATGTAACGTAAGAAACTTGCGTAATTAAACAGTGGTTGTTTAGATGTTTCATGAAGTTCAATAGGAATCTGAGTATCTTTAGGAAGATAAATCAAATATGTGTTGATAAGGTAAGTGTTAGAACGGACGTTGTCCTTTGTTTTGTTCTTTGTTTTTATCATTTCAAAAGGATTTTCCCAGAGCATTGCTATAAGTGATGAACACCAATATCTATTAATAAGAATACACGAGTATTGAGTTTTTAAATCATATCTCAAATATTCAAATATTCTTTCAAGGCAAAGTTCAGGTAAAGAAGCAGCGGCCATAATTTACGTGAGAAATGAAAATGAGAGGGTAAAGTACGATGTACTGTATGTTGGGAAATGTAATTTGGGCATGTAGATTATCTTTTTCAGAAATTACTAAATGTTACATCATGCTTAGTCATGACCACTTAAGGATAATAAGTTGAAAATTATGACCTACAAAATACTTTTTCTTTTTCATTACTTTCATGGCAGTGTTGTCATGGAACATTGTTGGGACATGGTCTGGAACACTTAAACATGAGACAAAATGTACAGTATACAGGTAAATTTGCAAGCATTCGTGTTTCAAATTTTGAGATATTGTGGCATTCTATCAACAATTACGCATGAGTTTCTTGAACGTACCTCCTCAGCAAGTGTGACCTCCTCTCATACATCAAAAGTGGCACCGAGATAAGCGAGTGGCGGAATGGTGACCGACCACAACATTTTATCTATTGATTTTTTTAAGGATATACAATTACCAGTATTGTCGTCTCCTCCTTCATAATAATAAAAAAAAATCATTGAATCAATAAATCGTCCTCCTACACAAAATTACCAGTATTGTCGTCTCCTCCTTAATAATAATAAAAAATCATTGAATCAATCGTCCTCCTTCCATCATAACACAAAAATCGTCAAAAGAACCATAATTGAACTTAAAATGTACAACATTGTACAAGTGAAGCACACAACTCATCGATTATTTTACGTGTAATTGACAATGGTTGACTATTTATGTATAATCAATCCTATATCGTAATTTAGAATTTTATTTTATTTTACCAATTTTTTTATTTTCCTAATGATAACAAAACATCTATATAACGAAAACCGTCTAAATATAACAAATTTTGTTTTTTCCTTTCTTTTTTTTTGTTAACATGCCCTATTGAATTCGTTATTTTCAACAACAAGATTCGGAATTATCTTTCTTGCTTTCTTAACATATTCCCTAGACATGTGATGATAACTATTAAAATATAGATATTTTAATGTCTCGCCACAATGACGAACGACAACATCTAAATGTCTGGTAGAGAAAAAGGTGCAATTACTAAATTCCAACCTTTTCAACTTCCTCGCATTACATTGCTTAAAAAATGTATCAAGAGAACTTGAATTATAAAACCAATCCATAAGAAATCTTATCGTATGAACCGTTTCCGGTAATGCCATTCCAAGTTGACAAATAAACTCATCAGCCGTAAGCGTACAATTTAGATCCATTGGCATATAAAAACCTCCTTCTTGCATGGATTCATCATAGATGTGAATTTCCTCCAATTTCCTGCACGTGGTCACCATGGAAATAATTGATAAAAGGGTCCCTTGATTAATTGATAAGATCAATTTCGTCAATAGGGTGCAATACTTTCTGCACGAATAAATTAATTCTCGTAAATTTCTAAAATTCCTTATTTCCAATACTCTTATGCTATCTCTGGCTTGACGAATCAAAATTTCCAATAAATCTACTTGAATGTTTGTCGTATTGATCGTTATAGATTTTAACCTTTGAAATGATGAATCATCAACGTTTATATCGGATGATCCGGTAAAGTTGCACCAAATGAGCTTGAGATGTTGTAAATTCTCTAATTTAGCAAAATATTGAAGTGGTAAACCACAACCAAAGGCGATCTTGTATAGATCGATACTTGTCAAAGTTTTTATGTGAGTACATATACTAATCAATAACGTGGGGAATTCAACTGGAGTGCATTGAAGTAATATATGTTGTAGGTTTTTTTGTGATTCGATCAAATCTATTACGTCGTTAACGGGGGAATTCATCGTATCCGAGGAATAATCATTATATGAGCAAAAGAATCGAATTTCCAGGAACCGAATATTATTGGCGATCTTGGTAGCCGATTTAACGATACCAGTTTCCATCAAGTCGGGCAAGTACATCACACTACATTTAAATGTCTTTATTCTTGACAAGTTTGGATTTGCGAATAAATTGAAAAGTCGAAAAGATAAATCAACTTCATCAATACGAGTTGAACAGGAGATGAAATAATCACATAAAATTTCAACGATAACCCTCTCGTAATCCCGTGTTATCATTCTCTTGCAAGTCACGCGTAAATATTTGAAGAAAGGGAGTTCTTCAACTTTCTTTGATACAATCCATCTGTTAACACTTTTACATATTGGTGCGATAACAATACATCGCAAGTATTTAACGTAATTAAAAATTGGCGGTCTCGTCGTCCCGGAATAAATATTGTCTCTGACATTTTTTGGAAGACAAGAAATGTAAACATCAATTAGTGATCCATGACGTTTTGGATTTCCAGAACACATAGTAACGAAAGGATTTTTCCATAGTTCAGGAACGGCCAGAGTAAACCACAAGCGATTAACGAGTATGCAAGAATAGAGTGTTTCAACATTATTATCTAATTCTCGAAAGATTTGTTCAAGACAAAGTTCAGGAAAATAAACCATTTTATAATTTATTTTTTTTTTTTCTTGTAAGAACGATTGATTAGGTGATTTCAAAATAAATTTTTAGAAGCGTGTATTATATTTATATATATATATATAAAATACTAAAATGGGGGGGGCAATTATCATGTCGATCTTTTCTGCCAAAATAAAGCGTTTAACTTTAAATGGCTCCTGTGTTGAGCACGTGAATTCTTTTATCATCGATCATCACTTGTGAAAAGCCCGAAAAATTTCCCAAAATCTTAATTTATATAAAATCATTTAATGCATCTCTCACTCAGTTATTTATATAATATATATATATATATTAAAAACCATCATTTAAATAATATTTCTTCGGTTGAAAAATTATATCAAATCTAATTTTCTCTATAATCCGTGTCTACAAATTATAATCTTAAATACTAAAAATTATGTTACAAACCATTGATAAATATGTTATTGAAAATCTCGTAAATTACAAAAAATATAAATTAACTTGTATGTAAAGAAAGATAAGTTATTGAGGAATAGGAAGATCTAAAAAAAAAAAAAGCTCGTTACAATTTAAAACATGATATACAATCTCCTCTCTTTTTGATTAAAAAAGAAACACTTACGTTTTCCACTTCTATCTTGTAGTGACCATATTGCTCTTTGAAGTCTGGTGATCCATTCATTTTTCTCTTCGAAGCTTGTTGCACGAACGGTATGTGCTCCGTTCCTTGCATCGGTAGTAAGTAATTGAAAGCAAAACGGTTGATCTGCAGAATCATCATCAATCTCTTTAACTGTCGCAAATCTCAGATCAATTTCACCTTTGTAGTGATATTCTCCTTTAAAATTTAAACAGAAGAGCAAAAGGTCATTAAAAAGAAAGTGTGCTCGTATATCCTGTGTTGCCGTAAAGAATGGTTTGACATTTGTCTGTCTTGGTGTAACTTTGTAAAGATCTCCGCCATAAATGAACCTTCGTGCAGGATCTACTATGTTTTTCGGCAAATTCATCACTTTTTTCTGAATTTCCAGTACTTTCTGTTGATTTTCAGCGTCTCGTATTCTAATTGATATAAATTTATTTGTAAGAAGAAAAATTTGGATTTAATGAATTAGATGTAAATTTAACGTACTTTTCATTCACTTCTTCAGCAATTGCTGAAATATGATCCACGCATCTCTTTAAATTTTGATAATCGGGATGTGACTCTTTTGTATGTTTAAATAAAGCTTCTGTCAATAATTTATAACGTGGAATTCTTTGAATCGGAAGACTCAGAAAAGAGTTGAGCGGTAATCCTCCTAACTCTGGCTTCAACTGACATTGCTACATAATGATCCAAGAGGTTAAACGATACACGATTATGTGTGAACGTGAATTAAGTAGCTGTCTCTTTACCTGCAAAAATTTTTTGAAATCCTTGCTCTCTTTATTAAGTCGTTCCATAGTCGCTATTGCTTGCGGAAAGCTTGTTAAATAATGTACATACATTTTAAGATATGGAGCCTATAATTACAACGATTTTAGAAATTAAAGGATATCTTTTTGAAGAAAATGAGATTCGAAATTAAACACAAACACGTACATTTTGTAAAAATATATCACTAATATATTGAGTTGGGCTCCAATTTCGATTCCTAATTCAAAGGGAAGAAAGGTTGGAACGTTAAAAAAAACAAATATTTTCATCATTTAAATTTTAATTTTTTTTTTTTTATATATCAGTAACCTATGATGGTGCACAAAAAAAAAAATTACACCTTATACTTGGAGTCGTCTCAGAGCTCCAAAATGACTACTTCAGAATTCGGGATTCTGCCGTAAAAGATTACGCGCTTTTTTTAAAAAAAAGGGGGGAAAAAATTTAGTTTACCTTTCTTCTAATGACTTCAATAGTATCTCGTGTAATTTCAATAACGGCTCAATATTTCCAAATATAGCCGAAATTTCTTCATTAGTTGCGACAGGTTTCGTTGACAAGATCTTATTATTAGACCTTTTATAATTTTCTTGCAGGGGTTTATAAAATACATACACAAGTTTCCTTAAACCATCGACATACGTTCGTTCTGTGGTAAGTATTTCCTTTACAGCAGCTTCACGTTTTCGATTTCTTGTTACTTATTATATCAAAAAAAAAAAAAATGAACATTATGTTTAAATAAATATATTCAACATATTAACTTTGTTTGCTTTTAACAACTAAATTAGTCATAGATCTTTACCTTCTTGAATTGGTAATGATTCGTTAACTTCAAGATCATCATAATATGAATCGATTATGTCATGTGCTTCGGAAAAATCAAACGCATCTAATTCTTGTTCAGGTTTTTCTTGTTGATAAAAATTATTATTATCATTGAACTTTAGAGTTTTCGGAGTGTCAACGAATGGATAAGGTCGAATGTTTGAATTATTCTTCAACGCATTAACCGGAAACGATGCGTTTAGACGAGGACTTGATTCGGGACGATTTATGTTTTGTAATGAAGCACTCCTTGGTGATGGTTTGGGTATATAAAATTCGGGAGGGTTTCCATATGATTGTTGTGGAGGTAACCTTGGGGAATTCAATGGCGAAGTTGAATAGTGAATCGGATGGTTATAAGGTGAAGGGGGTAGTGGTGGATAATCTCTATTTGACTCGATCGAAAAATCATTTTGGTTGTGTTCGTAGGAATTAGATTTCGGCGAAGTGGAATATTGATATCTTTGATTTGGTACCGGCGGGTATAAAGAATCGTTATCAAAGGATCTATGATGATTTGATGTGTGATACGTGTGACGATTGGCTCCATTTTTCTCCATATGTTCGTCTCTTCGGTCATTATAAGGAGAAGGCATTGAACTTCTCACGTTATGATAATCCACATAATCAACATCACCCAAATGATCAAAACTATCAACCTCTGATTTTTGACTGTAAATAGAATCGTAATGACTCATATACCCGGAGTCTCCACGTGATGACATTATGAAAACTAAATTAGGATTAGCTCAATGCGTATTACTCGGGAATGTCGTTATGATGATTAAGAAACTTGTACCAAAAATGGTAAAACCTTTATAAGAAGTTTCATAAAAATGTAAAAAGGAAACTTGATAAGCTTTTGTGTGAAAGTATAAAATATCTGACCATCAGTATTTCTTTTTACATAATAACAAACTTGAAATTTTTTTTTAAAAAATCAAATTGGACTCACTTGCAATATTATTAATCTTATAGTGCTTGCTCACAAATTAATATTCAAGTATGGTTATAATTTGTGATCAATCAACTGTTGAGATGAGGGAATTTAGGAAACAAACTTCGAAGAGAAAATACAAAAGGTTTCGAGACAAACTAAAACCACAAAATAAATAGATCAGTATAACATACTTTTAATTATTCAGTTATAACAACAGGCAGGGTGATGAAAGATAAAGGTTGAGGGCTTTTATTATAAGAAATGAAGTGATTGTGGAAGCTTTGTTAATCATGGCAATAAATTGCTCAAAGAGAAACGAAAGTTGTGACACCAACAGCATACAGCCTCAAGTGGTAAATAAGAGGTATATATTAAAACTTGCGTAAACTCGACGTCACTCACCAAGTGCCTAGTCAACTCAAAAGCGACAGGGTAGATAATAGAAAAAAGAGTACGTTTAGTAAAAAATATGACTAACAACGAAAGCAAAATTAAATTTGAACATACAGGTAAAGGTGCCACTTTTTTTTTCATGTTGCACCGCATGTAAACATGTGGTTGAACCAATGAGAACACACCTCTCCTCACTGTTCGATTTATTTGGCATCACAAAAGAACTTTCGATAAAATTCAGACGATCCCCGAAACGTATAAAAGAGGACGTGAATTGTTGATTTCATTTATTTTCATAATTTCTTTTTTTATCGTAAACTCAGGAATTGAATAAGGTTAAGGTTTCATAATCTTGTGTATCGTGATCAAAATTTTCACATAATCTAACCCGTTTTATAACGTGCATTAATTATGTAAGGTTTGAATACGACCGCATTCTCTACATATACACGTTTTGAAGGAATGTCGATAAATACTTGGATAATGATTAAACAGTTTTCTCTTTTTTTTTTGTTTCTTTATAAATAATTACATTAAATTAATTTTTATTTGTAATAATAATGAGAGATAAAATAAAATTTTTTAAATTCTTAAACTCGAAGTTGAACTAGATGAAGTGTGTTTGCGCTTTTGGATATTGTACTCTGTCGAATGTCCATCAAATTTCTTTATTTGAGATAAATATTTGTCTGTCTTTGAAAATTTAGGAACAGAATCGGTGGCCATAAGTCTAAATATTGTGTCTTGAATTTTATCATATAAAAGATTTGTTATAGGATTTGCTGCAGAATCATCTAGTGATGTGATATTAGTCATATATTGAACCATCTTTTGTCTCAATCCGTGATCAATGTTGAGTTCATGAGGTGATCCTGGTGCTAAAAATTTATGATAAATTGTGAAGGCATCATCGATGAGATTCTGCTGTTCTTGGTGATCTCGCATCTCGCCGATTTCATTAAATTTCGTATTGTATCTAGATTTAAATGTTTGAACTTCCAACAAGAATAATAAATTCTCCTCACAGAAATTTGCTTTTAAAAATTCCATAAAGAGTGAACGTAATGAGGGATCTTCCAAAATCTGTTGGAGTTTCTTTGCGTTAGATTCTTTGCTAGAATATTGATTATTTACATCTTTAATCGTCGTAGGGCTTTGGATCTGTGCGGTACTCTCTGATAATCGTTTACCGTTAGCTGGCAATTCATTTCGTGAATCGTTAATAATCTTAATACTAAGATTGCTCAATCTATCCTTTAACCCATTTCTATTTGTGTAGGTACCATCGTGATTCCATGAAATAATCCTTTGCCCAGATTCCGTGATTTGATAGCAAGTTGACTTTGAATATTTAAATGACCTACCATATTTGTTGGTAGGTTTTTTTGTTTCATTGCTTTTATCGGACAAAGGTTCAATAAATCCATATCGAATAAATTCATTTGCAATTCTCATAGATTCTTCCTTTGTGATCAAGGTCGTGAAATCGCAAAGCCAATCACAAGCAATTGCACCATGAAAATAGTAATGGCCTTGACGATTTTTGAGTTCAATTCCAAGATTTCGATCAGGTTTCTCAACAGTTGATTGATCCACATTAATCTCTTTTCCATCATCTTTGTTAATGACGTTTGGTTTTGCACCAGCGAACCTTCGAAATACTGATTCAATACAACCTCTAGACAACAATAGGGAATCATTATCAAGGTTTCTCTCAATATAATACAAATTAATAGTAGATGTTTGTGATGCAAATAATTTTGCCAAATGTGGAGCCGCGATCCCATTCCTATCAACAAATTTATCCAAAACGTGCAAACCTTTCAGCGTTAAACCATAAACACCCTTATCCTTGAAAGAACGACTTCCCGAGTCTCCAAGACTTTCAAACAATCTAGCATCCATGAAAGTTTGACACACACTTTTCGCCATATCTTTTGTCATGCTAAATGTAGTGGTAGTCGTGGTCGTTATGATTTTGGTTGGATCTTTCGGATCCGGTGTGCGATGTGATTGGGTAAATTTCAAAGAACCGAGATTAGCGATCGCTTCTTCGGTTGTAAATGAATTGGGGTGACTTTTAAATAAAATTCGATGTGCTTCCATCGGTAATGAAACGACCAGCGTTGCGAACAAATCATGGATATCCTAATATAACGATGATGTCGTAATTATTAAAAATAAATAAATAAATAATGCAAGTCTTTTTTTTTTTTTCTTTCACTATATAAAATATATATGGTACCGGAAGTCTTAACAAATTTTTTGAGGATTTATATCACGTGATTGGTAATTGATCAATGAAAAATGAGATATTAATTTAAAATTATAATTATTCTGGCTGACATTAATTCAGGATGATCATATGAAAATTATCCAATTTTAAATACCTATAACTTTTTATATTTGAAAAACTGACCGGTCAAAATATAAAGTTACCAGTTTATTTTTTCTAAATTTTATTTTTTTAAAGAGTTGAAAAATTTTTTAAGTATTACATTTATATTGTTGAGTATAGACTTCCTGCACCATACAAATGAAATGCGAACTACTTTACGCTGTAAATTCAGATCTTGACGTCCTTTGTAAATATTATGAGCATGAAGGTAATTTCACCAGATCCATGGCACCAAAAATTTCTTTCAAATAAATAAAAGTACGAACCTTGACAAAAGGTCTTCCAGACCTTGTCGTCTTCATCATATGAGTCGAAGACTGCTGGTGTACTTGCGGTTGAATTTCCATTTCTTTTTTTTTTCTGTTTTATTTATTTATTTATTTATTGTTTTTATTTTTTTTTTTTATAAAAAAAAAAAAAAGAAAAAAAACGTTTTTCAATTTTTCAAAGTTTTATTTAATTTTTATATTTTTTTTTTTTTATCATAGGTATAAATAATTTTTTTATCCCCAGTACTAACTATTTTCTTTTTAATGCACTTTCAAAATTTGGAAGTTCATCTTCAACTGTTAAATCAGTCGTGACACATTTAAAAATGGGTTAATAATTTGTTTAACAGTAATTTTATATATATATATTAAATATCAACAAATATTTATAAGCAAATAAAATCCTTACTTTCATGTTCCAAAAAATTTGAAATCATTCTTTGATTTTTGTTCGTTGTGTTTTTTCTTTTTTAAAAGAAAAAAAAATAAAACTATCATATAATTAAATTAATTTTTTTTTTTTTTTTTTTTTTTGCAATGTGAAAAACTTTTGTAGGAAACCTCTCGTTTTTTTTTTTTATTTTTTTTTTTTTTTGCACATTTTTTAAATTACTTCTTTTTTTCAAAAAAAAAAATTTGCAGATCGGGAAATTCGGAAGTGATGAAAAGTTTTTTCGATATTGATTTTCATTGCATACAATGAATGAATGAATACTTTTTTAAAAATAGAAACCGAGAACCCGTAATGTTGAGGCGCAGTTACTCACCTATTTTACGAAAATTTTGACCGTTCATTCTTTTTAGTAATCCGTATCACCATCATTCCTTCCAACTATTCGCTGTGAACCGATTTTTATCTATAGATAAAAATCAAAAGGTTTCAGTTTTTGACATATTTTTTATTTTATTTTGTTTTTATGTTTCACGTCTAATCATCCCTGAGAATGATTTCTCTACATGTCGTGACACTGCACCCAAATCCCGAATAAACTAAAGGGGGAGAATCTTTGAGCAAATTATTCTGTGGCATACTCGCACTGAACACCTCTTCCCCAATTCTCGATTAACAAAGCTCTTCTGACAATGGTTTATAAGCATACAAATTAATTTGTTAATATAATAAAGTATATGGATCAATTCAATTTGAAACAGGTTGAATATCAGATATTAGATTTTATTATATAAAACGAATGGTCGTACAGAATATTTCTCACTGTATGCATGCTTAACATTTATTTTAGAAAAAGTACGTCCTTTGAAATATTAAAACCAAATAAAAAATAATCTCCTTACTCATCAACATTCTCTTCAATTTTAATTTACATTGACGTGGTTTCAGGTTTTAATACAAGAAATCCTATTTGAGTTTAAATCGGTACGTTTAAAAATATGAAACGTCTCAGGAGAAAAAAGAATCTTTGTTTTGGGGGGAAGAATTTTTGGCGGCAAAATGACTTTCATTGTCGATCGGATCGTGTCACATTCACATGACAAAGTTTCCCATTAACAAAAATCATTTTTGACGAACATACCTTAATTAAATCTGTTTTATAATTCGAAACAAAAGATCATGGAATTAAAATTCACACTTACGAGATACAAAACGTATTAAAAATCTTTTTGCATAAATTAAATTTTTTTTACCCTAAAAAAATTGATCGATCACCCACCTCTCTATTATTATTTATATTATACATAAATGAAAGTCACATGGTTCACCAATGATTCATTAAATCATCAAATCATCAAATCATCGGTTTATATGGTTTAGTGGCTTTTTCTTATTACAAGATAATCGATCTCCTTTTTTGACCTTTTTGATTCATATATATATATAATGAAGAACATGAATTTATTAAATCACACAAAAATCTCTTCAACTTTGAAACCTTTGCAAAATCATTATTATTGTCATTGGACGAAGAACCTTAATTATTTAAAGTACCTTCGAACCAATTTCTTGCAATCATCGTTCAATGTGTTGGAAAATGAATGCAACAACATCTCGGGTCGAATGATCGTTTTAAAAAGATTCTCATCAACGACAACGCAACATCATGGGATGATTAAGGTCAACCCGATTGACACGAATAAGAAGCCGAACGATACTTGTCATCTAACGACCTTCAACGAGGATGAATTCTTATGGAGGTTGAGACTATTTCTTTTAACGAAACAGGATTCAACGGATTTTTGGAAATTCCTACGAGTTTACATGTATAATAATGTGAAAATTCTCAACTCACAATCAACACATCAAACGTCATCATCCTTATCAATGATAGATATCGAGCGAATATTCATTAGATTGTTTCAAAAGAGTAAATTAACCAATTTAAATTTGTCACGATGGTTTCGAAAAATGTTACAAAGGTCAAGGATCACGTTAAATTCCAATTGTTATAACATAATATTACGAAATTGTGCGTCAAATGAATTTTTAATAAATCAAGATCAAAAGATCTTTGCGGAAATGAAAAATCTTGGTCTCACCCCTACAAAGTTCACGTTGCAACAATTGATAAGGGATTATAGCAGTTTAGGAAAAATGAATCACGTTAAAAGGTGGTTTAACGTTTTACTAGATTTAGGATATCAACCGACGAGGGAAATTTATATTTACTTAATACGTGGAAGTATTTCGGTCAATGATGTTGGATCCGTTAATCATTATTTGAGGGAGATGGTTGAATCGAATTTCAAACCGTTAAAAGTACATGTTGATGAATTTATGAAACGTTGCGCTTTGAATGATCGATCCCAGGATTTAAAATGGGCTTTTGAACGATTTTACGTAAAAGGTGATTGGAATGTCACAAGTGACACCTATAATTGGATGTTGTTGTCTTGTTCCAAACGGAGGGATGTGCATCTCGCAAGAAGATACTTTGATGAAATGATCAAAAGAAAAAATTTAAAACCAAACGCTTTAACTTTTCAACATTTAATAACGATGCAAATTGGACCTTGTGAGTTTGGATTTCCTGGACCTGAAACAAATCCTTCTAAAAATTTGAACGAAGCCATGCGATTATATAAAAAAATGAGACAAGAGTTTTTGATAAAACCAAACATGTACATCTGTTTTATCCTAATAAGGAGGTTGATATACCACCATGAAAACGATAAATTACCAACATCATATATCAAAATCCTTCCCGAACTATCATATGAATTATTGAGCAAACTTCCATTTAATAATAATCCAACGATTTCGATGAAAGTTAGCAATAAATTTTTACGACAACTTTTTTCAACTTTTTTAAGATATGGATATTTAGAAGCTGCACGAAATGTATATAAAACGATGCGAAAGAGGAATTATAATTTTGCAATTGAAACCGGTTCATGGAATTTAATCGAGTCTTTTGCAAGCAAAGGAAATTATTTTTCGGCGTTACAAATTTTTCATGAAATGATTTCAAATGACGTTAAACCTCACCCACATCATTTATATTTGTTATTAAGAGGGTATTTTCAAAACAATGATTTTAAAGGTGGGTTGGAATTTTATAACTTGATAGAATCTCATCAATTAATTCCCACAAAAGATATTTATCACATCGTAAATAAAGTTTTGGTTGATATTAAAGATATACAACAAGCTAGAGAAATTTGTCAAAAATTAATCAAGTATCATGAAGTTTCAAATATGGATACCTTGAAGATATTAATTAAAGTTGGATGGGTTAAAGCCTAACCTGACCATCTATAATGATCTAATGGAAGGATATAAGAATACACATTAAATGATGTTAAGAGAATTTATCAAAGAGTATTGGATGAAAATATCGAACCTGATGGAATCACATAGAAATTTATTATTGGCGCAATTAAAGATAAGATTTAGAAGGAGGGATAGAGGTATTTGAGAAAAATATTTTGGAAAATAATCCGATTCATTTTCTTGGAGCCGTCACTTTAATTCGTGCATTGATAAATAATTAAATTTGAATTTGAGTTCGTTTCGCAATTTATTAAACGTTTCATCCTTTTAATAATGAATTACTGATAAACATTGAGAATCAACAAACCATCTTTTATACCTAACCTTATCCACGTAAAGTTCTCCGAGAAATTGATGTCTCCTTTCAAGAACGTAGGTGTTATGCAAATTATGCATCCCACTAATGTGTAAATTCTTTAACGTGTTGCCACAGAATTTGATTATCACATTTAAATGTTCATCCGAGAAAAAAGAACAGTCACGAAATTCTAATAACATAAACTTCCTGGTTGGAAATGAGAAAGAAATATTTCGAGAGATTTTGGATCAAAATGCCAATCTAATGAGTACTTAATAGTATGTACTGAACTTGGCAAGGTTTTCCGAACGCTCTCAGGAATTATTGGCGTCGGTTGAATCGCAAGTTAAATGCCAACTGAACATTTCCTCATTCCGATCTTCGTAGATATAAATCTCTTCAAGGCGCTTGCAAGCAGTTACCATAGAAATAATGTGATCATATGAAGAAATTTTTGTTGTTACAAATTTCTTAATGTTTGGACAAAATTTGAGACAAACATTTTCAAACCTATCGAAATCAGAGTTCGCTGATAATTCCAATACTTGAAGACAGCTATTAGCCTGACAACATAAAACTCCAACATTTCAAAAGGCAAATTCGTATTCTTGATCAATATTGAATGGAGTTTTTGAAACGATTTTAAACCTAACTTTATCATTTTTCTCTAATAAATTTACAATTTTCTATTTCCAGGTAATTCAAATTTAAAATTCGGCCAATTCTGCGAGAGGAAAATTACGCTCGAATTCGATATGATGAAGAGTGATGTGAGTTAAGGTTTCATGGTGAATAGAGAGACTTTTTATGATTTCAGAAATTCTAAAACCGAACAGCACAACGCAATTTTCTTCAAATTTTTTTGAGATTTGATTAATTCTACTATATCACTTAAACTTGTAATCATCGTTGGGAAGGGAGCATCTCTTAAATCAATATCTAACCTCTCGATATTTTTTGCGATTTTTGCAGCCGAAGAGACTGCGTCACAATTATATTGAATTCCAAACTTGAAGTGTTGAAGTCGTGATAAGTTCAAGGCAGCAATTGGAAGGTCAAAGATTTTCAAAAAAGTATCGTTGGACAAATCCACTCCCTTGATACGCGCTGAACGATCAACGAAATATTCACATAAAGCTTTGAGAATGTTATCTACATCATCATCTATCGACACTTTCCTTTTCTTTGTCTTTGATTTTAGTTTAAATACAACCGAATCATCATTCTTGTGTAAATCAAGTCAAATATAAATACTTTTTAGAATGATTTTGAAGTTTAAGTATTGTAAATACGTTCCATAGAGATTTGATGAATGGTTTTACTCCCAAGTTATCTCTAATGTCTTTAGATAAACAAGAGACATAAGTGTTTAATAGAGGAATGTTTGTCTCTATCACACCTTTAAGGTTCGAATTGTTGATGACATCATAAGGATTCTTTCATAATTCCGGTAAGCCAAAGTACACCAGTGTCGATTTTAATTCAAATATTTTTATAAGGCAGAGTTCTGGTAATATAACAGCAGTCATTTCAGGGAAAAAATAAAAGAAATGTTTATTTTGGTACTCGTTTATTTTTTTTTTTTTGTCAGACTAACGTGATTGATTGCTTTAATAGTTATATTACATCGTGTAAAATCATAGCTATGACGCAATGCTGCGGTGCGTAGGTCCTTTTTCATTAATTTGTTTATTCAACTAAAAATAACACAAATAATACTTCATATGTATCCAATAAGATATTAAAATTAATAAATCTTATAGTTGGGCATAATTTTTTAACTCTCCATCTGCAAGATTAATTTGTGACTATCAAAGGTGCATGTCATGGGATTCATGGAACCTAATCTGCGAGCGACATAATTTTATAAAAAATTATTATTAAATAAAATCGTTCTGATTTTTAATGAAATAATATCTCATATTAATTTAATCATCAGATACAAATCATGAGTCACTCTGATTACATCATTAGGCTTAAAAAAAAAAAACAGATGTTGGGGGGAAGGAAAACAGATAACAATAACGTTTGATTCATTATCAGACATTATCAACATGCGTGATCAATCTGTGTAGATCATATGAGCTTTTGATCATTACTAAAAAAAGATACGATCATTAATGATTGGTTAACTTTTAAATCCATAACTGGTTTACAGACGCGCGATTATTCCCATACACAAGATAAAGAAATTGGGTGATTATTGTTCACACGCCAAGAAAAATTTCTCATATAAATCGACGAATTTTTCAAAGAAAGAATTATCTTTTTCATTATCCAGAAAAAAAAAAAAATGATTACTGATAGTAAAAAACAACACGTTGCCACTCCCAATCAAGAAAAACATCATCAACGGTTTGTATTTTTTTTTTTAAAAAAAAAAAATTAATCTCGTATCTATTAAACCAAAATTTTTTTTTCTTCTTTTTTTTGTTAAAGAGGAACATTAACTGACATTCGTGCTCTGCCAAAGAAATCTGGAGCTGGTAATGGTAATTGGGGTGTCGTTGGTGATGAAATTAATTCAGAGTGAGTATTGTAAACAATCTTTTAATTCTTTAATTTTCACTTCGCAAGATTCCTAAAATTAGATCATTGCTTTGCTAACGTTTTATTTTGCGTAAAGAGAATATAATTTAATGATGGCAACAAACATAACAAAATTATCAAACGTACAATCGTCTCATATTAAAGTTATTGCAACCGAGGAATTCATGAAATTAAGAAATGCTGTTAGCGTTGGATCATAAATTTCTTCTTTTAAAAAAATATTTTTTTTTATCTTTTCGATGTAAATATATAATTTGTCAATAAAAATTTTTAATTTTGAAAAATAAATTTCAATTCCAATGTTTTAAAATGCGCAACCAGTCATTATTATTTTACTTTTGGATAATAATTTCTATTTTATGTACATTAAACTATACTTTTTTTTTTTTCCATCACAATGACGGTAATTAGTGATATATAATGAGTATTGTAATGGTGTTAAAAAATAATTTTAAAAGCGTAGTTTCGAAACTACCCTTAATATTAATTTACTCGACAACAGCAACATCCAGAAGCTTTTTTTTTTCCTCGTCATTCTTTCTAACCCTTTCAATTATTTCTTCAACGATTTCTTTAGAATTAGGATAAGCTTGAGGTTTCTCCAATATTTCTCTAAATTTGTCGGTTTCCCTAACCATTTCCCACTTCCTTACGACATAGCTCATGATCATATCTTTCACATCGGGCCATAACCATTCTGTGCTAAATAACAGTTCAGCGGCACTATCAGGTTTTAAATCCTTTAAGATTTTAGATTTGGCACGATCCCTTAATTCCGTTATTAAATATTTATCAGCCATTACAAATATGTCTAATGGTCGTCTGTGTAACGAATTCGAGTAAAATTCTATTTGATTCGTGTATAGAAATTTTAACATGGATTTAAATGTATCAAGATGAAAATCACTTACGTTTACCACATATCTTTTTGGAACGTTTATGGAATTGGAACTTTCACCTTCATACACTATCGTGCAGGTGTTTCCACATGATGACGTTATGGTTGCCATCGGTTGTGATGGGTGTGATTTCATCTTACGATACATTGAAAATAAATCCTCAACTTTTTTCATTCTCCCAAACGAGACATCAAGGAGATTCCACGATCGTTTCGTTGAGGTGCACGATTTGGCTTGGGTTATTTGCGTCGATGAAGGTATCAAAGACTTTGTGGTAAATTTTGATTCGGACCATTTATCTTGTTGAAACATGCACTTGAAATATTCCGAACGTTCAATTAAAATCGTGCTCCTAGCGTATAAAGTTCCCTCATTGAAATTAAATTGTACATCAGAAATTTCGGGTTGATCCAATTCCGATTTCCAAGCTTTTAATAGATCTTGGGGTAGTGGTTGAGAAGGGAGGGGGGTGGCAATCTTTTCGGTCTCATACTTTACTTTGTTAAATCGAACCCCAATCGTTATTTCCCCTTCTTTTGGTAATCGATCCTTCTTACAAAATTTCGTAAAACCCCACACGGGTGATCTGGCGTTGTAATTTTCTAATTTGCCAAAATTTAATTTTTCATTTGGATTTTTCATGAAATATGTGACGGAATATTCCGATCTATCCGACCAATTTTCTGATGAATACTTTTCCAATGGGTTTGGTAACGCTATTAGCCAAAGTGCGCAATATTCGTTATGATCTTTACTTTCCTAATGTAGGAAAATGAAAGAAAAATAAAGAGGTCAGAATGAATAATTTAAAATATCATGAAAACATTTGGATTCGGTTCATTAGAATAATATAATAATACCGGATGAAATTTTAATTGCCAAAACATGTTTTGTGTCGTAGCGAATGGTGGGGTATATATCGATCGTTGCGTTCTTATTAATTTAGCCGGAACTTTAAATTTGAACGATACTTTATCATTACCAGATTCAGCCGTTCCAAACATTTTTTTTTTTTTTTTTTTTTTTTTTTTAAAAAAAAAAAAAAGAAATAGGTGTTTTTTGAATAATAATAAGCGTTGTTGGTGTTTTTTTTCTTTTCTTTTTTTTTTTTGACAAATATTTTGCCTTGGGGAAACTTTCAAAAGTACTTTTTTTAATTTATATATATATATATATATTTGTATATTTTAAAAAGAGATATTCCAAGGTTAATTTATTTATTTATTTATTCGAATTTGATATTATTAGAAAAGAATCTTTATTTTAAAGGATTTAACCAATTATACGTTCGATATTTTCCTTGAAAACCGTTCAAAGGAAAAAAAAATTTTTTTGTATGTAAAAAAAATTTGTTTGGTTACAGTCTCATTTTCTTATTGTTCAAAAAAGAAACTTTTTGAACATAAAAATCGAGGGGATATTTATATTGTTCTCGGGATACAAAAAAAAAAAAAGTAAGACTGCGGCGTTTAAATCAATAAATGATGTAGGATTTTAAATGTATTTCGGAGTACCATTTTCAATAGGGTTGTTTTTGGTAATCCTTCTTAAACCAGTTAAGGGCTTAATATTTTTCTTTATTTTCCACAGAGAAAACCTTATTGTGATCCTTTAATTCGTTGTAATCGTAAGAAAAAAAAAAGCCTCTTATTTGGAAATCTCCTCCTTTTTTCTTTCCCAAAAACCTTCTGTCCCACAGTGTATCCTTTCTTTTTCTGTTCGTCTCTCGAAATCGTCCTTATTGTTCATATTGTAACACACTTATGATTATGCACGGACTTATAGTTAACCGAACTAATTTTTTCTAGCTCATAAAAAAAAATGAAATGAAATGAGAAAGGGTTGCTTTATTCCATTTATCGGCCGAGTTTAATAAAATAAATCTTTCCTCTCAAAAACTACTGCGGTTGTTGGCCGTGCAGATTTTCGGTGCCAATATTTAGGCGCATGATCATTAACTGCGGCCATTATTGACGCAGTGCATTGTTCTAATTGGCCCATGAAAGCAAGGCCCGTAGGTAATAGTGTGTTGTGAAAAAAAAAAATTTTAATGAATAAACATTAATTATTCATGGCAATTTAACCATAAAGACCTAGTTCCGGTTTGTCATCATGTTCGTTCCAAATTGGGATTACTACTTATTTGGGTTATTTGTTTACAAATAGATTTATAAAAAAAATATCAAAGTTTAAAGAGCACTCATGAATCTTTGTTCCAGGAAAAAAAAAAAAGTAAGTTTAGACATAAAAACAAAGAACGTAAAGGGTCACTCAAAGTTGAGCGATTTCTTATTGGACGAATTTTATATATATATTTATATTATTGATGTCACGTCACCAATCAACGAAGGGCCTCGTGACGATATAGCAACAAAAAGTGTAAAATATTGTAATAATGAAAAGTATAACAAATTATAACTTGCTGTAATTTGATATTTAGCCGTTGGCAAAAAATTCTAGTCCATAAAAATCAGCATGATACGACCAATAACAGGAAATAAATAACCCGATTATTTTATGAATTGGTGTCAGAATTGCTTACGTTAATTATTACAAGAATGAATCTAGAATTTCACACAAAAAATCGTTATCTTGGTTGATAAATCCCAAAATAGTCTGTCCTTCTTTTGTTTATGTAAAAAAATTTTCTCAAGCTAAGATCTATCTGGTTTATATTGTTTAAAAAAATTCTTTTGTGAATTATAATTACACAGATAGCGACTGTCTAGCCATTGGAGTAAATGATTTAAGCAAGGTATTATTACGATTTTTGACATACGAAACTAAACAAAAAAAAAAAGATTCAAACACTTTTTGATGGACAGAATTCGATTTTTGGTTAGAAGGTTTACAATTTTGCAGGCTTTAGAATAGTAAAGTGAATTCGGCGATAAGGCAACCGAGTTAATGGAATTAAATTGTGTAAATTAAAAGATTATTATGGTAAGTCAAAGGTGTTGTTTAGTGATACAACTACGGTTCCGGTTGTAAAAAGATAAGACGTTATCAAGCATAAGAAGATTTCAAACGCGAAAGTAAAAATAAAACTTAAGAATATCACAAGAATTTGTCTTGAATGC